CAGGCTGGGCAAAGGTGAGAATGCAGTGTTTCGGGTTGTACTGTACATAATTTAAGGTTTGCCTTTTGTGGAGATGATATCCAAACGATTCTGAAAACTGTTTGACCAGGAAACCAGTCCCAGATTTTATGGCTTTGTTTTTGTGAGTTTCAATTGCTAGATGTGTTATGACTACCTGATTCTTGAAATATGCATTTAAAAGCATCCTGTATGGTGAAGCTGCAATGGATGAGGATCTCTGCTTGTCTGTATCTTGAGGTTGTGTTTTGTTCTGTATTAGACTCGGATGTTTGGGTCATTTTAGGATCTGTAAAATAAGTAGCTTCAAGAATGATTTGCTGGAATGGCTGGTGAGCATGAGAAGACAAGATTCTAAGCAGAGGCAACAGCTCAGTTGCAGTCGTTATGAGCTGTTTCAGTGTGCAAGGCCACAGGTTAGGCTGGGAAGGTTTTTATTTTCTAATATGTGTGTTATAGATTAGACGGCAATAAATACACTAAAATATATGCAAGACTTGAAAATACTTGATAGGTGAACTTTCTGGGCTCACAGGCTTAAGCAAGTACCCGAGTGGAAAAACCCCCAAGTGACTACGTCCTCATGTACTGCACGCCTGTATCCTGTATTGAGGACGACAGAATAGAAGCCTTAGTACACGCATTATTGAGTGTCCTCGCGATTATGAATAATAAAGCAGGACATGTGCCCAGACATCAACTAGCTCTCTGAAAACTTTGTGAATTAAAGGCAAAGAAATAAAAATGCTTTTTCTTGTTTTCTGTATGAAGATCTTAATGTAAACCCTCTTGGCACGGGGTATAACAGGTTTTTCAAGACACTGCACAAAAGTTTTAAAAAAAATACCAATAAAGCCAGCGTTGGTATCAAAATTGGTGTAAATTACTGTCCATAACACTGTTATGTCCAGGATTTTTAAACTGTGGGAGATAAACGACTAACAGGTTTGTGCACCCTTATACCCTAAAGGGCAGGGCATGACTTCACTGACACAGATCTGCTCTTTGTTCTTCAATAGACGAAATGGGCGGGGGGGAAGCCTTCAGAAATGACTGCCTTCGTTAAAAAATGATTTGTGCTCCATCAGCCCTGAAATGGCAAGCCTCAAGCATGGGAGATTTCTGTCAGAGGAAGGCGCTAGATTTGTGATAGAAAAAGGAGAAGAAAACTGAATGACAGAATCAAATCGCATTTAAGAAAAAGCAAGCAAACCAGAACAAGTCAGCTGTGCCTGAATTAACTTACATCCCCAAGCATATGATTTAGAGGAATGCCAGAGGGATTTCTTTCCTTGCTTTAGTATTTTGAGTCAATCATTGTAGAAAGTGAGTCCATAGCGATATCATAGGGGAGGCTGGTATGAAAGGAAATGACAATCCTTTGCTGACACTGAGAAAATTACTTAGGCAGGTTCATTCTTTGTACATATTTTAAGGTTATTTTTTCTCTTTTCTCTTTCTGTAACTGGTTTCTTTGCCATCTAATTCAATTGGCTTTTTTAGAAGCTCAAATTGCTGATTTTTCATTCTCTGGGTTTTGAATTTTCTTTTAATTGCGCCAGTTGATTGTCATCTCATCTTTTATGGCTACAGTCTCTGTACCCTGTGAGGGGAGTGAGTGCCTGTCCCCTGCTCTTCCCCAGCATGCCCCGGGGTTAGAGCGTCTCGTCACTTGACATGCTATGGCCACAACAGAGCCTGACTGGAGAGTTAGCACTGGCTGCAGGTTTCATTTTCCTTCGCCTACAAACAAATAAAGCTGCTGATAATTGGCGGGTGTTATATAATTTGATTCAGCTAAAATGTGTGATCTTCCATCCAGTTACTGCAACACACTTTCCCATCTTGCTATTTTCTCACTGCTTGGATCCCGACACTGGGATCTGACACCAAGCGGATCCGGTGTGTGATATCAGGATCCAGGCCACTAGAGGCAAGCTGGCAGAACCAGGAAGCCTCAGCTCGCTTGGATAACCCTGATGCCAGACCAGAGAAGGCAGGATTGGGATAACCTTCAGCCCTGGGGAAACACCAGAGGCTTTCTTTTTCCCCAACAGTGGCTGATTAAAAACGATCCCAGACTCTCTTGAGCAGTTAGTGCACTTCCACTTGGAACACTTCTCTCCTACTGTTTGTACTAATGACATGACCCAAGATTAACGGTGATGTCTGGACCATAAGCCTCAGTCTGCTCTCTGAGCATGTGCCTTTATTAATGCATGTTTTGATCTTGTCTTGCACACTGGCTAAATGCAATGTGAAAGGCAGATTTTAATACTTGTTAAATGTTGATCACTGTGCACTAGGCAGTTTTTGCCTGTATGTAGAGCATTTTCAGCAAAAAATACATAATGTATAGATATAGTTATAGTTATTTTGTATATATATATATCCTCATTCAGAATAGTATATACAATTTGCATTTGCATTCCTGGGGTTCAGGTTAATGTTCTATATTGAAGGGCTACTACATTTTGTAGTACAATATATTAAGAGGAACATGATTTAAGTTTTCAAAATCCTCAAAGGCTCTGATAAAGTCAACCCGTTGGACTTCTTAAGAATGAATGCTGTAACAAACCAGACATTGTGTGGATGTGCAATTAACACTTCCTTATGCAAAGGTTGGTGGGGGGAGTTCTGAAACAAGCTGGCCATGTTGTCAAAGCTGATACCTGCCTTAATGTGTTTTGAAATATGGCTGGAGGACATTGTTGAATCAATATCAACTAGCTACTGAGAAACCAAACTCAATGGGCTAAATGACATCCTTTCATTTGTAACATTTGTCATGTTATATAACTTTACCTGAAACAGCTGTATCTGAACACTGTGCACAGTGGTCTTTGCCCATTTTGGTATGCAAAACACATGGTGTTCAGCAACTTTGTTTTCTGCGGAATACAACTGGAAAATCCTTTTGTTGTTCCGTTCATGATCAGTTCTTAAAACCAGATTTCAAAAGGACACGGCTATTACTACAGGTTTGATCTGTGGAGAAATGTGGGCCTGCGAAGATGAAAGGCAATGTGGTTCATTGTTAAATATGTTGAATTAGTGGAGCCAAGAGAAGCACTTGAACTGCAGGATTTTAAGAGCTTGTAAACAATAAATGAGTACACTTGTGGTAAGACTGTGAAAATATGTAAATTTAAACCAAAGGCAGCAGTCACAGAGTGGTACAATATCATTATAAATCAAGTTATACTGTAAATCCACAGTAAAGAAAATCAAGCTGATAAATGCATAAGGAACAAGTCGATTTTTCAAAGGGTCAAGTGATCCTTCACTGAGGTGACAGACTTTATTGACAATGGTATATTTAATGACATACTGTACATACTGTTATAGTACATACTCAAAACTGTTCTGTAAGTTCCCTCATTTATAAAACATATACAGTAGAAGCACTATTTAACTAAGATACACCACTGTGCAAATGCATTTACAAAACTCCAGAACTTTGATTTTGAAAGAAGTCTTAAGTACCCAACTCTTGAGTTTGCTTTAGATAGGGATATTGGCAAAGTCCTCATTCTCATGTTCCCCAAGTCATTTTGCAATCCTCAAACTTGGGCTGCACAGGCAGTAAAAGGCTGTCAATGTTATGGATGCTAAAGATAACTGCAGCTCTAAAAATTGTTTTTCACAACAAACACTTGTGGTTCCTTTCGTTTTGCAGTTAAAGAAATAGCGATGACTAAAAACAGCTTTTAGCTAAAATAAAATGTAAACGTTTCTAGTTTTGAAACTAACTCCAGACTAACTGGGTTGTTAAGTTGTGTTATCCGTGGAATTGTTTTGTAAAATCTGAAACTCTACACTTTTTATGATATTCCAATGTATCATAATATATGTATTACCTGTATGTATTATAATGTATCATGATTTTGACACTCCCCAGGGGAATATTGCACCCTACAACATGTGGTTTGGTATAGTTCACAACTTGTTCAGCTTCATTTAAAAAATACATTGTGTTAGGGGGCATGATCAAGCTCAGATCAGTCAATTGCACTAGCTCTCTTCCACACACGGTTTCTGCATTGACTTCACGTGATTGATTACATTTGGTTTAGTCGAATTGTTTAATCAACTGGAAAAAACAGCCACTTCTGTGGTTATTGGCTGAGGAGCCCATGGTGCAAAGCTGCCATCTGTGGAATAATGACGGAATGCCTCTGGGTCAGATTTCCCACCGTAAAGGGCCTCTAAAAGCTTGAAATCAACTCTACATTTTAAAGTCCAGTAGAGTCGCGATTATCCGGCCTTAACGGGGCTGATAGTGTCGGATAATTGAAAATTACGGATAATGCAGAAACTAAGTAGACAAATCATAGATTAATGGAAGCACAGTATAAGTATGAAACCTGGTTTATTAATTATTATTATTATTATTATTATTATTATTTAGTTCCCCAGATGTCCTTCTCTTCCTTGCGGTGAGGTCTCGCCAGCGTCCCGGTAACATGCCATCAGTAGCAGCTGCCTCCTCTTCTTGTTCAACATGAGCTAGTGCCGCTTCGAAAATACAGGAGGAAAAATAATCATCGCATGCGCGAAGTCAGCAACCGAAGCACATGACGCACGGAGAGGCAGAGCAGCATCGGATTGGGCAAAATATGCAGGGGCGCGCACACAGTGTACAGTCAATACTGAACACCGGTGATTGGCTATGAAGGATAAACTGGAATGTCGGATTAGGGAAGGTCGGATAATCGCGACTCTACTGTATCTAGAAAAATACACCATGCACATCCCATTAGGCCAATGAAAACAGTTATATGTTTACAGCTTAAGTAAAGCCTGTTGCTCTCTGGGAAGTGGGATTTTGATCCACGCCCGGTGGCCACACTTCTGGTCCACACCCAGAAGATATCCTTTCCGATCCCTCGGAAACAGCTGATTAAGCCACTCCAGCAGGGAGCTGCTCTCACTGGCTCACCCAGAGGATGTCCTCCTGTTCTTTCCTCGTTTTCCAGGTACATCTATGTCCCCCTAGGAGGGTCACACCACGGTGTTGTGCAGAAGACAGTGTCCACCGCCCTGGTCTTCGGGTTTGTTTGCTACTGGCATGGTGGCCATGACTACCTGGTGATCTGGGCCCTCTTAAACTGGATGGGAGTCATAACGGAAAACGGAGTGAAGGCATTCCTGTCCTTGCCCCCTGTTTATACATTTTTTGTAAGTTTGAGGACATATTTCTGCTTTTTTGTACCTTGTTTTTGAAATAGCTTATCAGATACACTGACTATATTGATGCAATCATCACATTTTTACTCTGAACAGTATATTATCATTATTGATGGCTGCATGTAAGCAAAACTAAAGTTGTTAAGCGTTTTTAATTTTAAAAAATCTCAAACATTTAAACACATAGACATACATTACCTACAGTACACAAAGATGGTATTTCAAACATTTGGATACTATAATATCTCTGAAGTAAACACCACTGTAAAATTATTGTACTGCCATGTTTTAGTGAAGTTGTTAGACTTTTGCCTCTCGTTTTGTTTGTTATATTAATACCCTTGTTTTCTGTCTTTACCTTTGAGTTTCCTATATGTTATTTCACTTTTTAAAGCTTTGTCAACCTGACAGAAGAACCATGTAACCATGGTTACAGCAACTTTGGTTTTCATGGAAGATTAAAAATACTTCACTCAAGGAGTTGGTCAAAAGAGATACAGTACAGGGAAATTAATAATTGTGTGGAGATTCACTAGAAACCGATCCTTTTGGAGTGACCATTTGGTTTTAATGAATAATTTCTCCACTTTTGGCTGAGAACCAGTTGCAGTTGGAATAGCAAGCCTATACCTGTCACAGCCTGGGTGATTCATTTTATATTCCATATGCTTTTACACGTCTACACCAGTTTTCATTGCTGGTTGCCTATTAAGACTTGTGATGGAGCGCCTAAAAGACTCTAGATCCACAAGCTCGAGATTTGAAATTAAGTTCAAATGTACAGTATTTCTACAAAACCACAAAGGAAATCTCTCTATGGCACAGCAAACTTGTTCAATGCAGAAGGCTCATTACAGTATGCTGAAAAGCTTGATGCTGTGAAGATTAGACTTTTTAATCCAATTTAAAGAAGCCAATCCCACATTTAATGAGAGTTGGGATCAATAAAAGTGTGTATTTTAATGGCAGCATTCTCCGTACATAAGAATTCAACAACTCGAGTTTTCTGATTTTGTTCCTATGAGGAAATGGTTAGTCTCGTTATCTTTGCTCCAGGAAAAAAAAGAGATCAATTTTTTCATGTATCAATACCTTTCCTGAGTTAACAGGAATTGTTAGTCAAAAACCGAGTGCGTGATCCAAGATTGGATTTCTCACATCCATTTTTATGCCGGCGCCCAGCGTGAAAAGCCTGCAGCCTCAGCCATGAAACCCATTGTGACAAAGATCACAGCCCGTTCTCATTTCCCCTCGCTAGGAGCAGTGCTTGTCGGCAGCGATGATGCGAAGAGGTCAAGCGTTCCTGTCGGCTTTCTGCACAGCCATGCTCATACTGTCCAACCTCGTTTTCCTTGGAGGAAGTCATGTGGGGAAGATACTCTGGCTCAGGATTTTTGTCCAAGGTATGGTGTTTGGTTTTTAAGCTGTCAAGCAGACATCTTGTTTTTTTTTGCTCCTGATACAAAGTGCTTAACTCTCCGTTGCTTCAGCCTTTTGAGCCAGCTCACCTGAGGAAGGTCAGATGAGACAGGTGGCTTTATCGGTTACAGGTGGGGTCCTCTGAGAGATACTGAAACACATGCAGTACTCTATAATGAGACTGGAAGTTGTTGCAAATGATGGTATTCCTGTTACTTGTGTTAAACTAATATGCTCTTAAACATTCAATGGATAGCCAGTCAGCTAAGTGATATACTGTAGTTCAGGTGGGTAGCTGCGTCAGCATGCGTAGGCTGCAAAGGAACAAGTAATAGGTTTATTCCATGCTGAAAAAAAGAAGAAAGAGAACACAACGTTTCGGCCGTGGAGCCTTCTTCAGGTGTGAGAGAGACAGGGCAGTAGGCAAAGGTAAAGTAGCGGGAGAACAAAGGCTGGGAGGGAGGAGGAGTGAGAGGCGGGAGCAGGGGACTCATGATATACTGCTGTGTCCTAAATCACAATTGTGAATTTATTAGTTCATCTTTGATAATTTATAGTGATTGTGCTCCAGGGGCATTCTTATTTCCCAATTTGCAGAAGTGCTTGACAGGATTGTCTCTTGCCTCATCTTATCTGTTTCTTTCTCCAAAATACAGTAAACCAGCATAACCCTTAATCTTTTCCTAAATGACTGTAATTGACATTTTTTTTAATTCTTTTTGTAACATGTTAAGCTTCTGTGCTCAATTACTGATCTGCTTTAAGCAGCTCTAAGCCATACTTCACGGTGTCTACTTTGGCAAAGATGTTAGAGTTCATACTTTGTAACTAATTGTAAAGGTACCAAGATAAGAAGAGAATCCTAAATCACTCACAGTCTGGTTTTAAGTTGGTCAAAACTGACCAACAACTTTGAGTGTATATGGTAACGTGTAGTAATTGTTAATCTGATGGTAAAAACAAAGTCATTTTCACCTTCCGACTGTGTCAGCTAATTGCAACTGATCTGTTTTTAATGGGACCTTTCAAGCTGAAGGACAACATTCCTTTTTTCCCAAAGCTGACTTTTTGAAAGCAGGTACAGTTGCTGGTTATCAGTCAATTGGCAAATCTAAAGGTTATCAGCAAAGTAACTGCTTTCTGGTGAGCAGAGCACCTACAGTAAATGTACTTTCCCCAAGGCAAAAAGAATCTCGGTATCGGAATTGAACTGTCTTGATCTTGTTTTCATCAGTGCACCTCAGGATTGTATCTGATTCAGGCAGTGAAGGATTCAGGGATTATATTGTGACTTTTTCTCTGTCTTGTGACACATGTAGACATTGTGTAAGTGCTGTAGATATCCCAATCTCTTTTCAATTTGTTTAATCTGGTAGATGTTCAATGAAGGGGTGGCTAACTGGATTGTCAATATTTTTGTTTAAATGTGGCTCATTACAACAATTTCATATTTCTTACAAAGGTCTTAATTTCATCTGGGCCCAGTGGCTATTAGCTGAACCCTCCACCACCAGTGCTGTCAAATACAAATTGATTCAAGCTTTTGTTTTTCCATGTGTGACAGTAGGGGCTTTAGGGGATCTTTAGCCTTTTCAGAGGCTTCTCTTACAAATGACATTGCTGTGCGACATTGAGGATGTTTGATACAAAGTTGAGTGGGACTGGGGTTATTCCCGTTTCCTCTCATTTTCATGTTTTTTCTAGCTTTACTAACCCACAACTTCAGAGAGGTAGCAAAATACTTGAATGTAATTTCCTTCTTTTTTTTTTGGCTGGTAATAGACAAATGAGGGACTCATACTTAAACCTATTAAAAAAAAAACTTCAGCCCTGAGATTACAGATGTTTCATTCTAAATCAGGCTGGGAACATGTTGCTTATTTTTGTCAAATTATTGTAAAAGATGCAGTGCATGGTTTGATGTGTTCACAGTCTATGTTGTCTTCCTGCTTCAAATGGTAGCCGTGTAACAACAAGTGTCGCTGATGTGCAGTGATAGGGTAAGCAGTGTCTCTCGACAGAAGCTGTTCTGCCCTGCTTGTTCTGTGCAGCTCCTCACTCTCCCCAGGCCTCCCTGCAGCATTTCGCTGCCTGAAGATGTAATCCTGTTGGGCACGGTCGTATCTTCATGACAGAAGCATGGATTTAATATTTTATCACACGGAAACAGACAGGGAAGGGGGAGCTCCATGTGAATCAATTAAACTGGCTCCCCAGCCCACAGCCCCCATTACCCATTCCACCCCCGAGTCTCCTTGTTGCCCTGCCTCACCCTCAGAAGCCTCCATTCTCAGTCTTCACCCAGTACCACACACTCCGCTGGCCTCCGCTCTCAAGAGCTTTGCAGTAAAGCAGACTCCATAAAATTAATGCGGTAGCTCCTCTTCTTAAGCTTCTTGTGTGCTTCTGTGAACAAATCTGAATGAAAGCGGATCTCAGTTCGGGCCTTCATTTTCATCTTGGCTACCTAGCCTGTAGTAGTTCAGTGAATAAGGCACTGCAGCACTGTAATCCACATGTAGTGCAGGAGCAGTATACAGTCTCTGGGCATGCTTACTCTAGTTTCTGAGCCTTACAGGTTAATCGGACTAGGTTTGAAATGCACTTCTTGATTGGAGTTTTAGAATTGCATACTGGTATTTGCAGGCTTGCAGTTTTTTAACTTACAAAAATAGGTTCAGATGCAGGAAACAAGCATTAATGCACGCAATTAAGGTATACACCATTATGGGGGTCAGTCACAAAGTCTACCTTTTGTCTCTGCATGGTGGTAAAGGCTGTTATCGTTTTATTTTGCTTTTTTTCTGATTCACAAATAGGGTTAACTAGCTAATGCTTGTTGCATTACCATGATGGAAGGCAGTACTATCAAAGTTCCCTTTACCTTCATTTGTGTGCACTGAAAGCGATTCAGAAAAAAAATAATGATGGCAGATAGCTTTTACTGGCACAAGTAATACCACATGGTGACTGATATATCACGTCTGACACAATCATTTCCTTTAGCAGTGATGATTTACAGTAAATGTTATATAATATTCTGAAGATGGACTTGATGGAGAAAGGTATGGTTGTTGTCAGCAGGCAGGGGGATCTCTCGAGTCATTCAGTAATTTTATCAGCACCAATCTTTAAACTCGGAAATGAGCAAACAAAATCTTCTGTTTTTGATCAAAAAGAAAACAAGGCAAAGGCTTCTGCTCAAGACTCAAAGCAACCCGAAATTGTGGTCAGAAACAAAAAGCAAAGAATACAGAAACCAAAGAATTGTGCAGCCCCAGTGTTTGTGAAATTGCCCTGCATTTCCTAGATGACTACGGTGAAGTGTGGGGTTACATTCTAGGAAAACACTGCCGCCAATGTTTGTATAAGATTTTATATTTCAGTTTGCCACTGCAGTCAATCCAGCTGCTATTGATTTTTCTATTACAGGTACATTTTCCCCCTTTTCCATTTTATTGATCAGTTTTGGAATGATGCCTGTAATTCTAAATTGAGAACACTCCTGAGATTTCCTCTCCTCGCACATTGCTAGTATGTTGTAGTCTGTTTGCCATTTTGTTGTCTGGTTAATATTTTAGTTTCTAGAGGGTCACCCAAATGTGTAGGGGACTCAGGCCCAGTCACCCTTGTTCACCTCCAGGTATGTGTCTCTCATGTGGTGTGGAAAGGCTTCCAGATACAGTAGAGCCAGGTGTGTTTGTGCAACTCTTAGCAGTTCCTTTGTTTTCTCATTTTGCAGGAAATTGTTAAAAAAAACTGCGTTTTGGTTTCGTTTGGCTATCATGTCAATATTTGGGATTCTGTCAAGAAACACCTAGATGACATCCAAAGATTTAGATGGCCTGATTGGCATCCTCTTTTGTTGTAACTGTATTATAGAATATTAAGAGAAAAATACTTTTTTTTGCACAACATAAATTTACACTAACAATTAGGCCGATTCAATTTTTCAGAACAACACATCAATTGTGCACATAGTGTAGAGTCCTTGAAAAGCTCCTCTGATGGAGTGATCGTGATCAGTGTGGACCACTGTGTTACTGTGCTGACAGGTGCCGGTGATTTTTTTATTTACTTATGCAGGGCATACAGTAAAGGAAATAAGTGATTATGTGTTTACAGTGCACAAGTTAGCCAGCCATCTCATTTTCCATGCCAAAGGTTTTTTTTTTCTCTTTTACTGGTGCTTTGGAAAGCTTACTTTGTGTTTTCCACTAGCTTTTCTCTTAGAATAACACGTTCTTGAGAGGAGAACTTCACAGTCCTTTCCCTTTCTGTCATATTTGCTTTACCATCACCTTTGTAGTCAGACGTGGATATTTGTCTCTTTTAATGTGCCTGTTCAACATAATCGTCACTTTTTTCCTGTCGGTGGCTTTTTGAGAGAGGTAAAAGCAATCTCAGTGTTTTAATGGGGACAAATGGCCGTACTGTCTATTTTTATGAATAACCCTTAAGTGTGCTTTCTGTTACAATGTTGTTATACCTGTTTGGAGTGTTCTGTTAACTAATTATGTGAGACATGAAATGAAAATAATGAAATGGAAAATGACTACGTAAGCTGAAGCAAACCAGAATTGCTCTGAACAGAACAAATATTACAGGAAGCATATCAGACATTAAAGACAAACTCACTCTGTATTTTCTATTCTTATACACTCAGCTAAATCTCACAGTGGATCCTTTTTTAGCAAAGTCCCAAGAATAACATCTAATTTGCCTGTTTCTTCTTTTCAAACACTCACTGTCAGTAACATGGGAAGGTCAACAGCAATACTGATGAAATGATACCCAGTGATCTGTCATTTTTAATTGTATCTGTTTTTGATCATCTGTCTGTTAAAGAAAAGACAATACTGTATCAAGCTAATATATTATTAGTGCACAGCCTGGGGAAAAGGACAGTAAAAAATTAACATCTCTGTTTCTAAGATACCATGAATTGATGAAGGGCTTAACCAGAGCAGCAGAAGTGTAGTTC